CGCGATATTTTCGTCAGTTTTAAACATTCTGGCTACACGTTCCAACCGTACAAAACAGAGCTTCCGCTGCATTTTAAATTTCACGGCTGCATCTGCGTGTTTTCGTCCGTTGCGAACTTCCGATTGCCCTATTTCCGATCGAAAATATGAATATGAAAAATATCGCAAATGGAGAAAACAATGTTTTCCTTCCTCTACGCGAAGAGAGCTTTTTCGTTTCATTTCTGCTAATTTTTCCTTTTTTCCTCTCGACCACGCAGCCGAGAGAACTTACGCGCTTGCATTCTCGAGCCACGAGAATGTCGCATAATTTCTTAACACGTACAATAAGTATTTCCAGAGATAGAGGCTACAGCCGCGTGATATAACGCTCGCTTTTGATAAATATTCACCAAACACGATATCAGCTATATACAGTGCACTTTATCGATCACATGTTGCCGTGCATGTAGTCTCATTACACCGATTGGAATATTACCATGGGTATGACAATAATTCTCGCGCTTTTTCAACCGATACCAGCTCTCGCGAAACTGGCCGAAGACACGAGACTAGGACGTTTGATAAACTTTCGATAAAATGTACAATAACGATAGAATCTTCGAGTAAATTGAATAATTCCACGGAATCCGGAAGATACGGAAAATTCTGTTTCTAAAACTTAACCATATTTTACTACGAAAGACCCATGGAAAGACAGGAATGGAAAGTAGACAAATTTTTAACAGATATTTAACCCTTTGCACTCGACATTGGCGCTCTACAGTCGTCATTTGATAAAATTTCGAAGCTAGATATTCATAAATATGTGAAATTTCAGATAATGTAACGGTGTGCGAGGTATCGAAATCAAATAACTGTTGAGAAAAATATCGTCAGCTTTGTAACAGAAAATCTTTCAACTCCTATCCCCTAAAAATCGTCGAGTGTAAAGGGTTAACAGACACCTTCGACATCTTTTGATCGTCAAGCAACTCTGCTTACGAGTATTCCAACTCTGTTTGGATGTTTAATTAATTATACACACGCGTGCCTTTACGGGACATTTTTATTCGGAGATAAAGGTATTAAAGATTTAAAAAATTCTGTATTTTTCAGGGAACGTTCCCGTGCAAGAAAGAAGGCTTCCTCACTCTTGGCCACGAATTCGCAGGCACTGTGGACGCTGTCGGTTCCCAGGTGACGAACTTCAAAGTCGGTCAAAGAGTGGCAGTCGACCCTAACAGTGGCTGCAATACGTGCTCCTTCTGCCACGATGGATCTTATCAGCACTGTAGGGCAGGTGGCATAAACAACACGATAGGGATCTACAGAGACGGTGGATTCTCCACGCACGCTCTGGTACCGGAAACCCAGGTTCGTCTGTCTGTTCCTTATCAACTTCGCAGGAATTTTCTATAAGTAACACGCTCGCTTAGAGTTTATCGTAACTCACCGCAGTTCCATGAATATTACGCCGACCCTTATGCATGTAATCGCGTTTAAAAATATCTTTGGAACAGCTATTTCTGTCACGCTTTACGAAGCTCGTAGAGTTCACTTTAATCTTAATCACGGGTCAAAGGGATCAAGCTTTTTCATCGGGGCTTGGCTAAATCTAAAGCAAATTCTGAGTTTGTTTTAACGCGAATTTCGTGGAAAATTGTGGATTAAAAAGTAATTAATCCTTTCGAGATTCTTTACATCCATTTTCATCTATAAATATAATTCTTTGGAAAAATGTCTATAGAAATTGGAAATAATGTGTGGATCTTTATTATTTTCTACCAGGTTCACGTGATACCAGATGGCATCGATTTGCACCAAGCCGTCCTCCTTGAACCTCTTTCATGCTTGGCTCATGGATGGAAGAGGCTTAATGGTATCAATGTCGGTAATAATGTGCTCATAATTGGTGCCGGAATCATTGGCCTATTGTGGACCTGCATGCTGCACTTGCACGGTCTGAGGAAAACAGTAACGGTCAGTGAACCGCAAGATAAACGACGAAAGATGCTGACGAAGCTTGGTAAGAATAAATTCAATCCCTAGTCATTCCTGGACCTAATTTGTAAGCGAACAAGGTGATTTCTATGAAATTCAGAGATGAGAAGCGTTTCAATTCTTAGTAAGGTAATAGGAATATTATTAATCTTGCAATAGCTCGAAAACTTGGTTGTTTATTTAAATACTTTATTTTAATTAGAGATATTAGTAGCAAACACTGATAGAATGATAAAGTAACTAATTACCATAGCGGTGATTTTGAATAATTAAATGGATAACGAAAATTGCGATGTAAAAGTTTAATTATTTATTTTTCAGATCTCGATTTCGATGCAAAGAGCCCAGAACAATTAAAAGGTCCGTACGATGTGGTCGTGGACTGTAGTGGCTCAGGACCTGCTATGGAAGCAGCTATTCCTTTGTTAGGACCAGGTGGTCGCTTATGCATATTCGGTGTCGCTAATCCTAAAGCTAAATTCAGTATCGAACCATTCCAAGTAAGTTAAACACGGCTTCGTTATAGTATATTCAAGTATTCGAATCATCTTTTCACTGGTACTTATAGGTTTCAATTTTATTTCGTTACCTGACAGGTCTACCTGAAGGAGTTGACAGTTATAGGTGTAAACATAAACCCCTTCTCGTTCCCCAGAGGATTGGGTTTATTACGAGCAATGGCCGATAGATATCTTCATTATGATAAGTTAGGTATTAAAGTATTCTCGTTGTCACAGTATCGTGAAGCTTTGGATGCCTTGAAACGAGGTGAGATCAGTAAAGCTGTGTTCAAATTATAAAAGCCAAGATCGACGAATTATCGAATTAATAAAATGGGCATTTTTTTAATGATAACTAAGCACGTTCAGTCATTTTGTCCTGAATATCCGAAATGATAGGCACTGATATAAGAAAGTTGATCTTGATGTAATTCTCGTTTATTAAACTCCATATTATTCTAGAAGTAAATATAAAATTGCAAACTCGTAAAAAGGTCATAAAAAATCTTATTTATTTGAGATTCTATGTTTTACTGCACTTATAATACTTTAAGTTTGTCCAAGTAAAATGAAAGACGATCCCTGTTATGAGTATGCAGTCTATGCGCTTGTTAATACACAATAAAAAATATCCTAGTTGCGGTCGTATAAATAATTTCGTCTACAATATACAATTGTTGATCTAGCTCAAGAACAAATTACATGCTTTGCATCATGATCAAGGTACTAACATTGTATTATATGTTATTAGTTTTTCTTTTGTTATTTTTTTTTTTTTTTTTTTTTTTACTATAAAATATTGTTACTTTGAATTCGATTAAATAGAGCATTAACAAGTATTTAAATCGTGTAAATGTATTCTTGAACTTCTAAAAACTATGTTAAAGGCTGATATATATCCATAACATTATCAATCACTTTTTCGCGTCTATCAGTTGCACTGATATTTGAAAAGAGACTATATAATATACATATATATCTCGAACTATTGGTAATATCATTACTTTTTTCACTATGTATCACTATGTATTTTTCTGGAATGTTAGTTTTTTACCTTGCCAACATGTATTATATCGTTGGCCCCTAAAACTTTTAATATATTCGATAATAATTATTCAATTTTGTTTGTAAATAACTACAAAAATAATTATCTAGTAAGAGATAAAAACAAATGAGGCCCCTAAAGTTATTAATGATCTTTCTAATATCTATTATGTATGGTGAACCACAGTACAATCAGCAACCATTTCGATAAACTGTATTGACTTGCTGCTGCCCACTGAAGTCCAGGATAATTAATATTTGGCGTAGAAATTTCTGCAAATTTATGAAATTTGGTCATATATGAAATAAGATGGAGTTATGTTACACTGAAGTTACAAAAGTTCATGTACGAAGCGGAAAAAAATGATGTTTAAAATTAACATACCTCATAACAACTGTAATAAATAAAACTAAGACTACCAAAGGTCCTGAAGAAACTGGTACTACTCCAGCCCCATAATAAAGGACTTGACCACAAGCTGGTGGACACACAGGGACAGTAGTTTCTGCGCAAAAAAAAACAAGGGAAAATCTAGAACATGCCAACTACTAAACTCAAAAAATAAATGCACTGCAAATCAAATTGCTTATTATGCAAGAAAGTGAAAAAAAAGAAAAAATAAAGTAAACACAAAATAATATAAGAATAACAAATGGATGATATTGTTACATTATCATGCACAATCTATAAATGCATACATATTTATTAATTCTATAACTGTATATATTTATAATTGCAAGTGAGAAATCGAAAGCATTTCAGGAATAATTTATATTATTAACTTTGTATATGTGTTGTAAAATACATACCAAATAATTCAACTTTCGTTTCTGCAGTTCCTAATTTATTAGAGGCTCTGCACACATATTCGCCATATTGTCTTTTTTCAATTGTAATCACCCTGATCGTTGTATCGGTATATTGATCCGCGGTTGCAAAATATGATATGCTATAATGTTGATTATTGGATAGCGGAATATCGTCTTTTAGCCAAACAATGCCTGGTGGTGGATAAGCCTCGACATGACATTCTAAATCCATGTCATATTGTAAAGCTTGACCAAGTCTTGGTCTAGGTGCTGTTATCACAGGTGCAAATTCAACTTCAACGTTAATATTACGTCTAGCACCATGTCCTACTCCATTTTCAGCTACACAATAATATGTTCCACGATCTTCCTTACGAATTACAGGAATTTTCAATGTATTCCCACTGTAACATATTGATTTTTTAAAAAGGAATTGATGGACATGTATAACAAATAAGAAGTAATTACTTACCGATAAATTGATCCACCAGTTGGTAAGATAGCATTATTTTCTCTACGCCATGAAATTCTAGGTGTAGGAAAACCACCAGCATAACATTCAAGATGCACTGGCTGTCCTTCAGTAACAATCAATGCTCTAGTTGAATTATCACTTATAATAGGTGGTCTACGAACTTGTAGTTCAACATTAGCAGATACATAATTATTCAAAGATATCAAAATTTTACACTGATAAAACCCAGCATCAGTCTCTTGAATATCTTTTATCTGAAGGATGCATTACATAAATTATACAGTAAAACAATATAAACATAATATGTATTAAATACAATATTAAATTACCTGTAATATGAAGGTAGATAGAGCTTCATCATACCTAAGGGAAAATCTAGTATCTCTTACAATTAAAGAGCTACCATGCGAAAGAGGTAGTGGGTCATTAGCAATATTTTTATTAATTTTTGACCATACAACTGGAAATTCTGGTGCATATTGAACAGAGCAACGAAACTCTACAGTCTCACCAATATCTTTAATTTGCTCTTGAGAAATATAAGATATTGTGGGTGTACGTTGAGCCTTAACTGAAAAATATGATAGTAAACTTTCTACCTATTTTAATTACATACAATAACATTACAAGATTTTAAATATTAATCAATAACATTCTAAACAGGAATAACATGCAATTTATTATGTGACTTTACATAACTATCACATTAAATTAATAGCATGCAAAGGATGTTCTATAAACATTACATCACGCGTAAGGGTTATCG